GTCGATTAACGTGTAAGGGAGGAACGGGATGGTGATGTTGTTGGATATGAGGATCTCATGAGTAAACTCATGACGGAGTAAAGGCATGGAGGGCATGGAGGGAATAATAGGTCGACAGGGAAATGGTTGGCGATACCCTTGGTTCGATGCCCATGTTTACTCGGGAGTTTCGTTTATCTGTCTAGTGTTTGGTTTCTTAAGTCGTTTCTGTTTCTATATCAGCCAAAGCTTTGCAATCACTCGACCAAACTGCTCGTTGCTTTCATTGACCAGGGAACGAAGCCAGACGAGCTTGCATCGCCATTGAGCAGCATCCTTGTCATTTTTCAACCAGCGGTAAGTCTGGAAGAGCGATTTGAGATCGGTTCATCGCGAAATCGAAATAAATTTGAGGAACCGTGACTGGTCCCTTGGTGAGTGTTTGAAGTGAAGATTCAAGATGATGGAGGAGAGGAAGTCGGTTGACATAAAGGAAAGGATGCCTTGTCGGTGCCTGCCGGGAGCCCCAGCATTTTGTGGGGAACAGCACCATGCCCGATCAAGAATGCAGCCCCCTTTACCGAAAGCACGGACCATCTCAGCTCTCGACCACAGCGCAGCCGAACGCCAATGGATTGAGGCGATGTGGCATTTGGTGAGGCGACTGGAAGGAAGGTTGACAAGCTTCCCGTTTCCCCAATTTACGAACGCGACTTCTTTCGACTTTCTTGGACATTCACCACTCTTTAATCCACCACAACTTCGACCTTCTTCCCGCCCACGACGACTCCTTTCTCTTCTGACCAACGCGAATTCGACTTTCTTTTACCCAATACCCAATACAATAATTCACAATGGCGGACACCGTGCAAGAGATCCTCGACGTGCCCCGCGAGTTCCTCAAGGACGGCATTCAGTTCATCAACAAGTGCCAGAAGCGTATGCGACCCTCCACTCCAACCTTGCGCCACCCGACAACATCAATGCTAACTGCAGTTCTCCTACAGCTGATCGCCGCGAGTTCATGAAGATCTCCCAGGCTGTTGGTACTGGTTTCTTGAGTAAGTTCCTCCCTGCTCCTTGTCGCTGTTCTCGGAGCACCAGCTAACATTTGTCACAGTCATGGGTGTAAGTTAAACTCGAAATCACATATATACGATATAACACAGCTCTAACATTATGCCTACAGGCTGTCGGCTACCTTGTCAAGCTCAGTATGTTCCTCTCTCCCTCCGACCTCCCACACCCAACCATAAGCTAACATCCACCAAGTCCACATTCCCCTCAACCAGGTCCTCGTTGGCGGCGCGTAAGCAATCGACGATTTTCGACGAGATAGAGCAGAACGCGGACGAAGTAGTTGCGCCGAAAGAACCGAGGGACAAGATACCCATGAATGCTTTTTCACGACACATGGACGGCGGACAGAGATCCAACCACACACTAGGGAGAGATCTTGAAAGGGCTGGGTCAAAAGGACAACGGCACCGGGCCGTCGAACGATGATAATCGGTGGTCGTGGAGAGAGAGAGAGATGAAGAAGACGAAAAAGATATCCTATATGCAGGTGGTTTCTCACGGGGTCGACGAGACGCCTGCTTATAATTTCCACCACGCCTGGGACGGACGGGACGTCGGGTACCCTTGAGGCGACTGTATAAATCATTTGATGGCGAATTGGCGGGGGGTCATATGCGGAGAAAGTTTTAATACTTATGGGAAATGAATGGCGCTTTGTTTGAACAACAACTCTACTGGGAACAGCAGCGTATGCGTGACGAAAGTTTGGCAGTTTAACGGCAAGACACTGCGGCCACATAACGAAAGTGGGAATGATCACAGAAAGTGTCTTATGGTCGCTTTTGACGGCTTGTCCAGCATTCTATCACCCGGGAGCTTTGCAAGTGGTACAGCAACGCGCGCGGACAGATGGCAATCCCAGCTTGTGTTTCTACTGTTGTGTAGGGTGTCCTGGGGAGTTCATCCGCTCGAGACAACTTGTTAAGTTTCCAGGCGTTTTTACCTAAGCCAGGACCAAGCTAACAAACAAAGCATTGGACTATACAGTCCGTTGAGAAACCGCACTTGTATAGGGTCTAAGCAAAGCAAACCATGGAACATAAAGCCTAGTGGTAGTATGAATATAGCACTAACCCTACCGAAGCCGTTTTTGTAAGTCGATCTACTGCCTTCAAACCCTTGTTAAATACTAAGAGCACTCTGGAAGTACCACGGTGGCCCGATATGTCTATTACGTAAGTAGGACCAACGATATACACTCAGCAACCCGTCTTCTCAAACCACATCCGAACGTCAGTTATGGACCCTCTACGAGTCAAATGCCAGGCTACCAGCAACATCGTTATGTGTCCCAGTTCTATGATAAAAGTGTTGGCCAAGGATCCTCCAATATTCGCCATTCGGAATCATGACCAAGCTCGCCAGCTGGAGTTGCTGACCACGCCCTCTGGTTGCCAAGGGGAGACCAGATGGGTGGCGATCATTGATGATGGTGTCGTGGGGGAAATGAACCAGGGTTCACGATGAGGCTTGTGAGGATCTGGTCTTGGTCGTCCTTTATCGTTCGGTTGCAGTATTCTCGTTTCTTTTTGATATTCGCCTACAGGGCTTCGAGGGTCTCTCGTCAGGGTTTCTCAATTATCAATGACGATCACCTGCGAGCTCCAGGCTCCCCGACCGGACGGATGAGGGCACGTGGTATTCCAAGCCATATCAAAAGCGTCCTCGATGATGTTGTTCCAGACCACGGCCATCTTGCGTTTGGCCGCGTTCCTAGCCAGAATCGAACAGTTTAGGACGAAGGCCTGGTGCTTGAACGGTGGCAATGCAGGTTTGCCGACCAGAAGACCTTTTCGAATACATCGACTGATTTCCCGGATATGGTCCTCGGTAAGATGTCCCTTTTGAAGGTTCCATGATGTCTGAGTAGACGGTGTCATGTGTTAGTCATTTGTCTTGCTGTTGTTACCACGGAAGGGGAAAAGAATTGGCTATGGTCAGGGAAGAAAACAGCTTGCTTACCTTGCATGTCTCAGTGATCTCCTCAATCTCTTCCTTATCAAGTCCCACATCTGGATCAGTCGGATAGAGCAAGCGGTTGGTCAACTGGAAAGCTCTCGACTGCCCAACGCTGGGAGCATCTTCACGCGCAATCTCCGCCGGGGCCGACACTGGGAGATTACCAGGAGCTTCGAGAACAGTCGAGCTTTTGTCCATCTCGTTGGGAACGTCACTGGTATCCAGAAAGTGGGCACAAAAAGCAGTTATCCTTTGCTTCCACACTGCCCGCCTTTTCTTATGCTGGCTCTCTTGCACCTCGGCCGGGTAGCCAGTGAACTCTTGGTAGTAAGCCACCCAATCATTCACGCCTTGGGGAAGGCTTAGGAAAGTCCAACACTTTCCCTCCTCCGACGAGACCAGAGCAAACAGATTGCACCTCTCACTGCGGGCTTTGGTGCAGACGAGATGAGACGCCCATACGTTCGGGTTCTCCGCTTCTTCTTGTTCACCGCCGCTACTGTCCGGGGTGCATTTGTTCGGCTTCGGCGCTTCTTTGCTGCTGTCCGGAGAATACAGAAGTTCACCTACGACAACGAAGAGATCGCCTTTTGAGGCTTGGGCGATGTCCAGTTGCTCGGTTGTCAGTGGGCTTGGGTGGCGGATTGCTGAATGCTTGGCTGACTGCCGTAATCTGGTCAAGTTCTCGGCGGCTCTTAGACTTGAGGTCCCGGACTTCGAATTTGGCGCAGCTTTGATTATCGCCCCTTGGGGACGGTTGGGGGTCAGAACATGGTGCTTGTAGAGATGGGAGGTGACGGCGATGTCCATTTTAATGTTGAAGTCAGAGTGGTCTCAGATGGGGCGTGATGCCGGGAGTTGGGGATGTGGTTGTTGCCGTGGGTTTGAGTAATCTGTTGGAGGAAAGATTAGGTTGCTGTAGGTATGGAGAGGGAAGAGGCTGGTGAGGACTTACTTATATGCGGAACCTGGGCCAGAATGGGATGAGAGAGACTTGTTGTTTGCTTTCAAGCTCCGATACTCCCTACAAGGGCCCACAGGTTGAGAAAAAGGGGAAACTTCAATCAGGATGGGATGAGAGAATCTTGGTGTTTGCTCCCAAGTCCTGAATACCCCCCAGATTGGATGACAGCTGAGAGACTCAGAGAAAACGTGAACAAAGTGAGGGGAGAGAACCTTGTTTTGCCTAGAAGTGCAGTCCGCAGAGGTGGATAGCAGAGAGACCTGGCCGTAGGCAATGAAGATTCTCAACAGTGACTATTCGCTCTCCATGAATGGGCTTCATCGGAGGCTAGTAGACTCTTTTGTGCAAGATTTTGAAAGGCTTAGCTACTTGGAGAATGGAGTTAGGGAGACATTCTACTTAGAATTCAATATCAATATGTCACTGACCTAAGCTCTCTCTGCCACATCATCCACGGGATCAAACATTCTGGTTCATGTTCTTCAACCCCGATGGCAAGCAGTCCGAGATCTTGAGGAGTGAGGATAGAAGCAGGTGAAGTTGGACGGGAGACGTTGTTCAAGAGGTCGGGACGAGAGCCAACATTCAGACATGAGTCTCGGGATAACAAGTACCTTCCTCGCGATAACGCATTGCATATGTACTTGTTACTGGGTGTCGTGCAGGATCCGACGAAACAAGAACACCTCTATCAGCGCCCATGACTTCTAAGGCCCTTATATCCGAGTTGCAAATGGGACTGAAATTTTCATATCTCTGAAGAGTTGCCAGTGTCCATCGTGACTTCCCAACGCAAAGTCGCCACTGCTCCTTCTTGGTGTTTTCTGGTCGTGCAACTTCAACTTCTCGTCAGTGTCATGACGGGCATGCACTTGTCACTTCTGAATCGTCGACCCATTATAGCAAGCTTACCGCGGCTGGATTGCCGAGGGATGGTAAAAAAAATAAAAGCTAGGTTTATGAACGTCGTTCTTTACGATGTTCAGGATGTCGACAAATGAAGAAAAAAAAGTAAAAGTGACTGGAGTGGGATTCGAACCCACGCATCTTGCGATACTAGAATACACCTCACATTATGAAGAAGAACTTGGTTCTTGAGTCTAGCGCCTTAGACCGCTCGGCCATCCAGCCATTGGAACATTGTTGAATATCCTGGCCAGACGGAGGACTTAAGTACCTGATGCAACACCCTGCCACTGCTGCCCTTTCCCTTGTTGGTACCACCTTCTGTTTCTTTCTCAAATGTTCTCTGCTTGCACCTGCCACATTTCATTGATTGTATGTCTTTGACGTGACAGAATGGAAGGAATACCTTGTCTCGCGTGCAGTGCTTCGGACGTGGGCTCTTTCCTTTGTACTGACAAGCGATTGCATCAGTGATTGCATGTGCAAGTGCAACCCCTCAGTTGGTAGCTTGCCGGATCACCAATGCGAAGGGGAAAGGCTCTTTCCCGATCTTTGGAAGCTGCTCAACGGGAATAAATCATTTTTCCATCACTGCACTCCACATTGTATGATCCGATAGTATAGAACTGAAGGCACCGAAATCACTGCATGTGTGTGAAATCCAAAAGAGTTTCAGCGTCCGAGGCAATGACGAGCTGCAGACTGGATTAAAACCAGGCACAGGAGTTCCCAATCCTTGGCTGGTAGCGTCCCGCTTTCCCCCCTGCTCAACTTCCCAGAATCCACCAGCTCCCGTATCTCAACAACAAACAAAACAACCTAACAGCTTTCACACTTGTCGCTGTCGAGATTTTCTTTCGCCGAGCTTCCCTCTCACTCCTCTCTCTACTTTTTATTGTCTTAATCCTTAATATTTCAACCAATTCGTCACAATGGCCGCCGCCACAAATCAGACAACACAAACAGGACAAGATGAGGTTACTGACCTCAGCAAGAAATATGATACCCCAATGGGCCTTGCCCACTCGACGATGCAGACTCTGAAAGATCGCATCAAGCTTCATTATGACCTGGCGAGCGACTACTACCTGAACCTATGGTGTGTTTTCAAGCTTTCACTCAGCAAATTCTTGACGGGGTTTGGTTGTTGAAGCTCAAACAGTCCTCACCAAACCCCTCAAACAACACTCAAGAGACAACAGCAACAGAGAGCTAACAATTGAACAGGGGAGAGCATATTCATCACGGTTACTGGGCCACAGACGAGGCCAAGGCCAAGGACACCAAGGAAGTTGCTCAGGTCAACCTGATCCGCCTTCTCCTCGAAATCTCCAAGGTCTCAGAGGGCGCTCGTGTTCTCGATACTGGCTGCGGCATTGGCGGCACTTCGCGCTTCCTCGCCTCTGAGTTGGGATGTACCGTAACCGGCATCACCATCTCTACCAAGCAAGTTGAGATGGCGACCAGGTTGACCAAGACCGAGGCCGCCAAGCAGATCCAGGGCGATGACAAGACCGTCACCCCTGATGCCGATGGCTTCATTGCGCTCGGAAAGGGCAAGGTCAGGTTCATTGAGCTTGACGCGGAGAAGATGGGCGAGTATTTCGCTTCGGACGCCGGCACCTTCGATGCTGTGTGGATCAGTGAAGCTTTGAGCCACTTTCCCAACAAGGCTCTTTTTTTCCAGAACGCGTTTAAGGTTCTCAAGCAGGGTGGAAAGTTGGTTCTTGCCGACTGGTTCAAGGGTGAAGGACTTGACCAAACCCAGTTTAACAACGACATCAAGCCTATTGAAGGTTGGTATCTACCCAGTGAAGAAGACCGTCATCTGCTCGAAGTCAGCTAACACCAGGTGAACTAGACGGCATGCTGCTCCCGCCTTTGTGCACTCAGCCCGACTATGTCAAGTTCGCTACAGATGCTGGACTTAAGGTCTTCCATGAGCCCAAGGATATTAGCAAGGATGTCAGCAAGACATGGTCAGTCAAACTCGAATTTGTCCATGAACCCACGGGATGATGCTAACACCAGGTATAGGGACATTTCTTGGTCGCTGGTACAAAATCCTTCTTTGTGGGCGTTTGCCTTCAGCCAGGGCAGAGATGGCATTGCCTTCCTTCAAGCCTTCCGTGCGATGAGGCGAGGCTATTCCAATGGCAGCTTCCGATACGCCGTCATGTCATTCCAGAAGTAAAATTTAATGACAAAAGCGTAAGGGAGACACTGCCCGTTCAATGAATTCCTCTCAGTGATGTGATAGCTCGTGAACGCTGCTGTCTCTGTTGTTGCTGTTGTCTGGCAGATGATAAGCACAAGCTCATCCTCAGTGCTCTGCCGGGAACCTGACTCTTCTTAGTACCTACTCGCATTGGTAGGTCCGTATCTTCCACAAGCCATTGAACTCGTTGCTGCACCATGTTGAAGACGCCGCCATGCGGTTTTCATAAAAATTTCACAAACCATCAATGCTGGTGGAATTGTAAATACAAGTGACGAATAGCACCCCTGCCCCGGTTGTCGCTAGAGAGCAAAGCTACCCCACCTCAATTGACATCTGGCGACCCCGCCCCCGCCCCCGCATGTTCGAACCTCTTATCCTCCGGTCCGGTCCGGTCCGGTCCGAGAACAATCACGGCAACATGTCCGCAACCCCGGAATCAACGCCGCTAGGAGCTCGGCATATTGTTCCACCTCGAATGGACGTTGGCGAGGTTCGGGTTTCGAAGACCGAAAACAGGATCAACGGATGGTCACCGAATGCATGAGCAACCCGAAGTCGGGGGTTTCCCAGTTTGATGCCTCGGCAGTTGGTGGTTGCTGGTTGGCCAATGACTTGAGAACCCTCCTCAAGTCTCTCTCTCTGGACTCGCCCAGGAAGAGGCAAACCCAAGAAGGATCCTCTTTTGGGGATGGAAACCACCAGCTATGAGTCAAGAAGCCGGAAATAAAGCACAGTCATGAATCTAGTACGTACGGTTTACCGTACCACACGGAAGCAAACAAAACAATACACCCCTCATCCTGTGTGTCATAACGATGTTCCGCGGTGGAAGGAGGGGTCAAATCCGAGGGGGCTTTCCTTTTTAGTAAAGGTCATCCAATAGTATTGGTTACCAACGACAGCGAGATCGCCATACCCATATCCCGTCTCGAGCCCGTTTATCAGTATCCGATCCGTTGCCCATTCCTGTACCACGTTTCTCAAGCAAGATCCGATGGAGCAATAAATGGAGTTCACTGCCCACTCCTTCCTCGGACTTACTACACTACTTCATCGTTTCACCCCCCCCCTCACCCATCGTCGCTGCCCGTGTTCCTCCACCCACTAGACAGGATTCAAGTCCACGATGCCTCTTCCAACCTCATCCGTCTACCAACCCCCATCGGCCGAGTTCATGAAATGGCCGAGCCGAAGGAGCGTGGTTCACAGCACCAAGGGAATCGTAGCTTGCACACAACCGCTTGCCGCCAAGTGCGGTATCGATATCCTCAATGCTGGAGGAAATGCTGCTGTATGATTTATTGTTCTTTCCCATTAAACCAATCCCGGACAGCTGCTAACATGGTATGTCAGGATGCCGCTGTGGCCGTTGGTACGCTTGAATCTTCTACATGAGACTCAACATGAAGTGCTCATTATCTAACCACTTTTAAAACTTCCAGCCGCCGGCATGAACATGACGGAACCTTGCTCGACAGGCATCGGCGGTGACATGTTCTGCCTCTACTACGATGCCTCAACCGGCAAGGTCTCGGCCCTGAACGGCTCTGGACGCGCGGGCGGCAAGTGTACGCTCGAGAACGTCCGGAAGAGCCTGGAGATCCCAGAGGGCACCGTGGGAAAGATCCCCATGAGCAGCGTCCACGCTGTGACGGTGCCTGGTGCTGCCGCCGGTTGGGTCGATACCGTCGAACGGTTCGGTAGTGGCAAGTTGACCATGGAGCAGATTCTCGCACCGGCGATCGAACTGGGTGAGAAGGGATTTCCGGTTTCCGAGATGACGGCTTATTTCGTGAGTTTGACAGTGTCAAGTCCTATTTTATGATACTCGCTCTGACAGGTTGAACAGTGGGGAAGACAAGAAAAGGGCATCCGTGAAGCATCCCCTAACTTCGCTGAGATGCTGAAGGCCGATTCTTCTGCCCCTGACGGCGTCCGCGCTCCCAAGGCCGGCGAAATCATCAAACTTCCCAACCTCGCCAAGACCTTCCGGACCCTGGCGACCGAAGGCAAGAAGGGCTTCTACAGCGGCCGCATCGCCGAGGAACTCGTAAAAGTCGTCAACGACCTCGGCGGCCATCTCGAGCTTGCCGACCTCCAGCACCATCTCGAAACCGGCAGCGAGCGCGTCGAGCCCATCTCCCTGAAATTCCCCAACCCGCACGGCACCTCCGAAACCGACGGCGTCGAGCTCTGGGAACACCCTCCCAACGGCCAAGGCATCGTCGCCCTGATGGCCCTCGGCATCCTCAAGCACCTGATCAAGCAAGGCACCATCCCAGCCTTCGAGCCCTCTGACCACAACACGGCCCCCTACCTCCACGCCATCGTCGAAGCCCTCCGCATCTCCTTCGCCGACGCCTCCTGGTTCGTCACCGACCCCAACGTCGCTCCCGGCGTCCCCACCTCGCAGCTCATCTCGCCCCCCTACCTCGCCGAGCGTGCCACGCTCTTCTCCCCATCCTCCGCCAACACCTCGATCCTGCAACCGGGCGACCCATACGCCTCTCCCGCCCTGACCTCCTCCGACACCGTCTACTTCGCCTGCTCGGACTCCCAAGGCAACGCCATCTCCTTCATCAACTCCAACTTCGGCGGCTTCGGCACCTGCATCATCCCCGCCGGCTGCGGCTTCACGCTGCAGAACCGCGGCGCCAACTTCTCGCTGGACGCGAAGCACCCGAATGTTCTGGCGCCCAGGAAGAGACCTTATCATACTATTATCCCCGGGCTGGTCACGAGTTTGCAGGATAGCAGTCTGCACTCGGTCTTTGGCGTCATGGGCGGGTTCATGCAGCCGCAGGGACATGTGCAGACGCTGCTTGGGCAGGTGCTGTGCGGGTTGAACCCGCAGCAGGCGTTGGATGCCCCCAGGGTGTGTATCGGCGCGGGAATGCCGGATGAGGGGGATGTGTATGATGCGACGGTGTACGTGGAGGAGGGCATGCCGGAGGAGACGGTGGAGGGGTTGAGGAAGTTGGGACATAAGGTGGAGGTAGTGAAG